TTTTGCAGCTTGCCGCCGCGCGCCGCCTAGATATGTATCGTGGAATATACAGCCGTTTTACACGTGTAACAAATGGTAATGGTTTATTCTATCAGCTTATAGATGCGTTTGTTTATTTATACACAGTCTGAGATATAACTTTTAATTGGAATCCGTTTGGGAATACTTGTGTAACCTTTAATTAAGCCTCTGAATGTAAGATATTTGAGACTACTGAATTTTTCCATGAAAGGCTTTTGTGAGTACCTATTTCATAATTTTTTTTTTTTAAATAGTTCTATTATAACTTAAAGTGTTCAGTATCAAATATGTAAATGGAAATTATTATTGATTAAAAAGTTGTGACGTTCTTCTCATTAGTCTTAATAACTGCTATTAATAGAAACACGTATTTTTTAGAAATAAAGCTTTGGATTCAAGTAGAGTAAACTTTATATATTAATTCTAGATCGTTGCTTTTTGGATTCTTAGTTTAAGTATTTTCTATTTTTGATAAAAAAAAATATCCGAAGGTTACCCTGATACGCAATGATAAATTTGAAGTTTCATCAGCATCATCAACAGCCTTTAGTAGTCCACTGCTGGACATAGGTCTCTCTTTAGGAAGGAGTTTTTGGCCACGCTGGTCGGATGTGTTGGTACGAGTATAGAGATTGTTTCAAGTTTTTCTTCTCTTTGCAGTGCTGTTGCCCTGCTAAGTTTGCTCCCTTAGTCGGCTTTTACGATACCCACGGGATGAATAGCGTATCCGAACTCTCCGTATTCTTAATCCTTCACCAGACGGATAGAAGTTTCAATATGTACTGTCTTTATCAGTATATAGGTGTATGTGGGAGAGCCATGCTTCGGCACAAAATGACCAACTCGACCGGACTGATACCTCGGCCTGACAGAAAACCGATGTTAAGTAATTGTTTCGTTACCTTTATCGATGTTAAGTAAGGAAGTTCGCGGACTCGACGGCTGAATGAACATTTATAACTTTTTTTTTACAGGAATATATCCTGAGGGGACTTTATAAACATAACGCGCTTGTGACTCCTGAGTTGCATTCGTTAGTGGCCCATCTGCTTGTTTGCCCCCTATTCCATTAAAAAAAACTGACACAAAGAACAGCCAGACTTAGACCAACAAATTGTAGATCACACAAAGTGCTTTCCCATGTGGGGCTCGAACCCACAACACTCAACGCAGTAGAAGGCTGATAGTGACCGTTTAAACCACTATGCCATCCATGCAATCTGACTCTTAGTTTCAGGTGATTACTTAGAAGATATCTATAAGATATACATAGTTACATACATTACACGCCGCTTTCCTGTCCAGGATAGGTAGAGATGATAGAACACTATTGGGCTGGTGCCATACTCGCTCGCCAGTTACTTTAATATAATTCATACGAAATATGCAAGATTAATATTACTTATAGACGCAATATATTGTAAGATTTATTTAGTTGAGGTATTATGTTCTCAAACTAAACATACTCAATTTAAATGCAGCTTTTGAAACATAACAATAACGAAGTTAAAACAAACGGGAAGCCGATACTGTTTGGCACGTTATAATGGCTTAGTTTATTTTAATTAATGTTTAACTAGTGAAGATGCATGGTATATTTATGTATACTATGGAAATAAGCTTTTGCGATCGCGATTATAACTAAAAATATATTTTGTTAAGATTTTTACTGTTACTTTAATAGGTTTTTTAAAGACAGAATATGCATAAGGACATGAACAACAGTAACGTACTACCTACAATAACTATAAAACTGACTACTATACCTTAAAAGAAAATAACCTGATGGTTTTAAGAAAACCACTTTTTGAGAAAAAGGATTTATTATATAAATAAGACATAAAAGAATAATTGAACAAATCAATGAATAGTTGCTTGCTTTATTACCGATAGACATCTAAAAAGATTTGGGATAAGTTTAGATAGCGAAAAATGGCTTATGAAATTACTCTGATTATACCTACAATGAGCTCGTTGGTTTGTATGAAAAGACTCATTTAAGTAAGTGTATGTCTGCCATAGAAAAGGTTTTCGTCATTAAATTAAATAAGTAACTACTTTATCAATATGAATACAGATTATTTATCATGGTTTGATATCATGTATGCAGTTTGCGCATCTAATTTTCATATTTTGATACGATCTATTCTTAGATTAATATAAATAATAATAGTACCTAACTTTACTAATAAGTACTGTTACTTATAACAAATCTTTTAATATGTTCTATCATATTTATTTCTTTGTTTGTATGTCATGCGTTTCTGTACCGGTCATCGTATAACCATGAAAATTGGCACACACATGGCCAGGGATACGATATAAAGTCTAGAAAATGTATAAAGGAAGTGTAAGTATCAAGATATTGAGAAGCGTGTTATCGCGATTTCGAAAAAGTATGTAACATAGTGTTGGCATTTATAGTTTATACATATTTTAACTTAGATGAACTACAGACACTTATTTCATAAATGTGAAAGAAACTCTGTCTCTCTGTTTGACTGTAACGTTTTTAATTTTGATAAATTTTGGTTTAGAGGTAGATCAGTCTAGTGAGACCTGGGACTAGATTCTTTTGCTGCAAAAATAAAACTTGAAGTTTTTAAAATAGAAGATAAAAATTTGTTTTGTAGAGATTCTGCATTGACGAAGTCGCGCACTTTATATCGCGTAATTTTATATCGCGTAAATACATTTTTAGAGGGTCGGGTAGCCGATGCTAATGTCTTCGGCGAGTCTCCGGCGATATGCGATAACGGCTAGTCGTTAGCCCTACACTCGCACTTTCTATCTATAGCCCCGCCACTGTGAAATGTAAAGGTGTACGTAAACGTCTAACAACATCTATGAAATTTTAATAATTAAAGTAAAAATTACGTATCTTGTGTGAACGAGACGATTTCTTGTTATGGTAGGTTCTGAAAATAGTTAAATCAAAAAGACCACCATAACTAAAATCAAGAAAACGGCGTGAGGGGTCCATGGACACCCAGTCGGAACGAAGTTCCTTTCGCTTTTTGGTAGCGTTTGCTATAGTGTCGGAGAAAAGTCTTGTTACACATTTTTCGATCTCGCTCCCACCGCTCAGAGCGTGTAACGCGCGATAAGGAAGTTCGTTCCAATTTTAAAAACTGTGAAATGCATAACAGAATGAAAAACCAAAATCAAAGAAAATTGATAATACTTATGTAAGAAGTTGGTTGAAAAGGTGCACCTAAAATAGTACTTGAGAAAAATTAAAACATATTAGAATCTGTTTTTCCAAGTTCAGTTTCTCCAGATTCAATGACTGCACGGATGACGTAGTGGTTGAAGCGGTCACCTACCGTCGGTCGGTGGGTACGGTACGGTAGGTAAGGAATGCAATGGCGGAAAAGGAATACTGCCTAAACAGATGGTTTAGGAGGTGCTTGGGTCAATGCTCGGGCTGCTTAGGCTCGCATACTTGTAACTCTTAGATTATATGTTAGAAGCAAAAATTAGTAAGACTATTGATTCCTATTAGACCAGACAGTACATATAATATTACTAACTGTACCCTTTTTTTTACCTGTGCGGATATCCCCGCAGATGTCACCCACCGGTGGGGTGATTATGTCGGTTTCGAACCATCCAAAAACCGCACGCCCTCTCGGGTACCAGCAGCCGGGGAACCAGGTGTACCCTAGAAAGGAAATCTCTGGTACTTCTAACTGTACCCTGCCACGCTTCGCTGAGGTACATCGTTTTTTTGAAAATTGTATTTACTTTTTAGTGATTCAAATTTTGAAAATTGTATTTACTTTTCAGTGATTCAAATTCACATATTTTTTTTTCTGTAAAAGTATTAATTGTGACAAATTATAAATTAGTTAATAACATATAAAATAAATATGTAATGTGACCCGTTTGCTCCTTTGTCCCAATCATAAAAAAAAGGGTTTACACCATTTTTTTTATTGAAACGGAAAACTTTCATTCTGCAGACAATCGAAATATTTCATAGCAATTCAAAACATGTTAAGTATTTTATTACAAACAAGCTTTAAACTTTACCTATTTTTTCCGGATGATATCGGTTGGTAAGGTTACCAGAATGTTTTACGGTAACAGTGAAGCAGTGTTTAAATAGGTATAAGTGGCGTACTCTTTCTTCAGGTTCTCAGATAGACAGGTACCTAAGCTATATGAAAACATGCCTGGTCAGGTAAGTCAGACCTCAAACTCTATAGACCAAGTGTTTTGGTTTTACTTTATACACACAGACAGACGTCGTATCAAATAAAAAATTTATAAGTTTCAATTTCATGAAAAAAAACATTAGTTTTCCTCGAAAAAAAAATAGGTTTTTTTTCTTTGTTTTCAAGAATTACAGTTAGGTGTAAATAAGGTTACATTTTCAAGAAGTAAACCTTATACATACAACGCAAGTCATCTTATAAAACGCTGCTAACAGAGATTTAAATTTTAAGAAAAATTTCTAACGATGTTTTATTCAATCGCTATTATAATTAATTCGTGTCACGTTCTGCGCGGAAGATTAAATTGTACCTATGCGTATGAATATTCAAAGGTTTAGTTATTGACGTCCTACGATCTACTAATACAAGCTAGCTGGTCCTGAATTCCTCTGTTATTGTTTCATCGAAAACAAAACACCGACATCGTAAATTAATTTACAAAATGACAAATTGAAAAGTAAACACGTTACACAAAACGGTAGGTAGGTTACAATAGTACGAGTATAATCCACATGACGAATTGTAGTGTCATAGTCCATTCACTGGTCCTTGAATAGCCAATATCATATTAAGGTCAATTACACTAATCTCCATTTAAAATTTACATTTCACGCGAATACCCAGACGTTAACGCACTCGGTAATGTAAACAAAAGCGTAACGTAGACACAGGGCGGCTTGTTGCTACCGCGTCATTTTATCTAATCCTATATTATCTAATATTCGATAGAGTGGGTTCAAGGTTGTGGTGCTGAAAGCGCTACAGTCTCGCCGGTTGCGAGTTGCCATCACATCCTCCAGTCCCAGGCCGTCGCGCGCCCTTTGCGCTTTTATCAATACGGCGCAGTGCAGCGCCGCCTGTCGGCCGCCTCCAGTACCGGCGCGGACTCAATTGCGCACGCTCTGTGCCCCGCGACAAAACTGCATTTACACCATCTAAATAGAATTTCTTCCTCAAAATAATCCCTCCAAAATTATTTAAATGTCGATTTAGTACTATGAAACGTGACGCGACCATTACGTCACAGTTTACTTAAATCGCGCGCGATCACAAAAACTTAACCTAAAACGACTACGTTACTATTACGTCAATAACAGGCAATCCCTCGCCTTCACTCCGCTGTTATTGTTTATTATTACATTATAAACACTAATTTCCTGATGGTGCTAAGTGGGTTGGCATCGCGAAGCTGTCCAACGGTGAGTAAACGAGTCTTATCCGAGTTGTGTTTATTGTAAGCTGGTGCTTGTTTATATGCGAGAAATGAAGTGAGGTATCTGGAGAGTATTATCTAGGTAATGTGAGCATGTGAGTGGTTACTCTCGCTTGGTACAGAGCCCAGGAATGAGGACATTGTCTAAAATAAACTGAGATTTTTACCGAGGTATTTCAGTTACATAGTATGTCTATATCTATAGGTGTATCAAATGTAGCTCACGCTAACAGAAGTGTTTATGTTGAGCCAAATGCATTCAGTGTTAACAGGCACGCGGCATATGTTCGCACTTAAAATGCAGCAGATACAGTATGCGTGATTGGAATGTGTCGCAAGTAGTAAAATGATTAATATGGTATAAGTCACTCCCACTATGCTCACAGTGGACTGTATAAATATCGAAGTAAGCTAAAAGGAGAAAACATGATAATGAACTTAACAGCTATGGTTTCGAACTTCAGTAAAGAATAAGTGAAGAGCTTAGTATTATAATACCTACTGGTTTATTCATTATGGTCATTAAGCCATTTATTCCTTACTTAATAACTAGATAGATATGTCACGTATGCAAGTTGCACACAATTTGGATGAATTTGGTAGAAATTTAATTGAAATTGAAGAAAATAGTAATTTCTATATTATATAAGGTCCAATTACTCTATCAGAACGAATGAATACAATGTTCTGATTGTCATATAATAAGAAAAATCTTATTAGAGTCTTAAATGTGTAAGGTAAATAGTTATCTAATTCAAGTTTAATACACGAATTGTATCATAATTCGAAATCAAGAGACATATGAAAATAACTGTTGAATGTGTCATCACAACAAATTAAGAAGACAAGAAATCATCGCTGCTGTGAATCTTCCACCACCTTACGACTACAAGAATAGTAAAAAAAAAAAAAAAAACATAGTTGGTTACACACTAAAGATATATTTAATTATAAGTACGAATGCTGCTAAGAAAAATATTTTCATAAACAAAACCATACAAAGACTCTGAAGGACCCTTTGTTTTCTGTGCTAACTAAAATTACTCATAACTACTACTATTTAAACAGTTATACATAAATTATAAATTACTAATTAAATATTGTATGCAAAGATTCGATAATTATGTTATCATAGGCAGGTATACATTGAACTTAATCGTAAAAATTTCTACAATAATTAGGTACACATAACCATGGGCACGCCGTCATTGCGGCGGTAAGACCCGTTATGGAGGATTGGCTCGAGAGGCGTCACGGGACCCTCTCATACCGATTGACGCAGGTGATCACTGGGAAGGGATGTTTCGGAGATCACCTGTGTCTGATCCGCAAGGAGCCAACGCCTGAGTGCCACCACTGCGATGGCCAGACCGTGGACACGGCTCTCCACACGCTGGCAGAGTGCCCGGCGTGGGTTGAGCAGAGGCGAGACCTCGTGGCGGCCATCGGAGTGGGAGTTCTCTCGCTCGATAGCCTGATTGCGGCTATCGTGCGGAGCGAGAGTGCGTGGAACTCTGCCGTCTCCTTCTGCGAGCAAGTTATGCTCGCGAAGGAGACGGCGGAGCGGGACCGGGAGAGGTTTAGAACTCTCCCGGCCCGCCAGGCCCGGGCACGGGCCAGGCAGCGCAGGCGCCGGAGGTCGCAGAACGACCTCCGTCCTCCATAAGCGCAGGCCTGGGGGTGACAGGTGAGGCCATCTGTCACCCTAGCAGAAGCAGGCCGGGGTGGCGGCGAGCGCGTTGCGAAGCGCGCTCGCTTCCAGGGAGCACAGGGAACATGGGGTTCCCACACGGGGCGGGGGTCGTCTACTCGTCTGTAGATGACCCGAGGTATGTCGGGGCACCAGGGCCTTCCTTTCTAGGGTATACCTGGTTCCCCGGCTATTAGTACCCGGCGAAGGCGTGCGGTTTTAGTCGGTTCGAGTCCGACATGCCACCGACAGGTGGTATCCGAGGGGATTTCCGCACGGGAAAAAAAAAAAAAAAAAAAAAAAAGGTACACATAACCAATAGCTGCTCAAAACAAAACATTATTGTTGACAAGGTAACACTTTGCTTTTATTGTTACTAATTTTTAAGTACTCACTTTTAAGTGTAGTAGTGTGTACAGCTTACACCAAAATGGGGCGTTCGTAATTTGTCGCGATTTTTGTTTAAATGGCTATTTTGACCCAATTGGCTATTTTAAATTATTTTTTTATTTGTCTGTTTGTAATCAAATAAGAATCTGATTGTAGGATCCTTAAAATAGTGACTGAGCTCCAAAATTAAATATACTTCTCGCAATGGATGTGAAAAGTATCAGGAAATGTTTTTAGCAGATAATGCCCCTTCCTCGGCCTATACAGATGTATAGCTGTTAACGTAAGGCCATTGTAACTGCGATAATTTCCTCCTCTAAAAGCGAAAAATAGGAGGTGAAGGAGTTATTATTCACCATGCTTTAGTCACTTCGAAGGTCGCTTTCCTTTTTTCCTATTCCATTACTGACCTCGGGTGAGATACTGCACACACGTACTTATGTTATTTTTACTATTTAATAATACACCTCATCTACTACGGATTTATTGTCCCAACAAAATATTACCGGTGAAGCAAAAAAGGTTAAACCATAATTTGAATGAAGTAATTGCATTTCACTTTCTCCGTGCAGTCGCCCCCAACGTACTTGACGCAAAATAAGTCACACATTCACTCAGTGCATACGATGAATCTTTTGTGAGTTAATAATGGTATTTCAGTTTTGCATAACACTTCTTTGTGCCCTGCCCTTTGGCATCGTGAGAATATAGGCCAAGTTCACGAACAATGCACCAATTGTATTTACGTAATGGCTCCTGTTTCTTTTATTTCCGAAATGTACAGTACTGTGTGTATTTGACGGTTTTATTCTCATTTCTGTGTAACCAGTTCGATGTGAATTGAACCACGTAACACGGCCAATCCTAAGAGTATTTACGAGCAACTGAATCGTTCCTTTATGAAAAATTGCAATCTAGTTACAACGATGAAAAGAACTTGTCTATTGTAAATTCTTACAATAGACAAGTTCTATTTGATTTTGTGAAAGTAGTCTGTGAAGCGTATTGCGAGAATTATGCGCTTGATTTCATGTTATTCTTTCGAAGGAATAGCCGTATCCATTAGTTTTTAATATCTAAATATTTAATCAAATTTTCTTTTGTTGGGTATTTTAACACTCTTTTTTATTATTTTATTCGTTCAATGAAGAGTAATTTTCAAACATCTGATTAAATTTAATTTCCTCTTAAATGCTGTGCTTTGATTTAAATCATTTTATATATATTAATATCAGCGATACTGAAAACTTCCGTCACAATTTTTTATTCAGTGCTGTCAAAATAAACATAAAATTGATTGGTATTTCCACCCTAAATAAAGAACTAGGAATATAGATCAAAAATTTTCTACTCAATTTTCTAGATCTAGCGTCTCGCCAACCCTACTTTTTTATAACAACTAAAACATAGTCGCAATTTTTTATGTTTAAAAAAATATTTTTTTAATGTAACTTGACTTTAACTTGATGTAACTTGTAACTTTGAGTGCACGGATGGCGTAGTGGTATAAGCGGTCGGCACGCCGCTTCCTACTACGCCGCACTCGGCGTAGTAGGAAGCGGCGTGCCGTGCGGTGGGTTCATGGGACGACACTTTGTGTGATCCACAAATTGTTATTTTGAGTCTAGGTGTTCTTTGTGTCCGTTTCATGTATGTTTGTCAAGTCCCCCACGACACAGGATATATTCCTAGAATGGGAGTTCTCTTTAAAAAAAAAACAAAATGTAACAAATATTTTCAATGTAAAATATAGTTGTCGATATTATAATGTACTATGACGATTTCGATATTTAAAAAAAACAAAGGTTGAAATTTTAAAACTATAAGGAGTTTTTTTACAATTTTAGCCTGTCGTTTTAAGGCTTTCGCCTAAAATAAATGAGCAATTAATTTAATGAAAGTTTTTTAAAGCAGGCAACGTTGGGCCAGTTTCCAGCCAATTCTGCGTAATGAGAGCTCTATTGGCGATGACGTCAAGACTGCGCTTGGTGCAGCTAAGCTATTTAGGGAGACCGCGTCATAGCTGGAGCACAATGCCCTTGCTAACGCTACGCTTAGTAAATAACGATTGGATTGTTTATATTTATGTAATGAATTACTAAATCGGCATATTTATTTATGTTTTGTTCCGTATTCGTTGCTAAGCATCAGCTTTATACATAGAAACACCCAGTAATAATCGAACTTACGTCACGAATACTACTGACCAGTCACAGAGGTCGCCTTAAAAAAATATATGTATGTAATATATGTATGTAACTGTATTCTCGATTCTATAGTTCTCTAGTATCCCAATTACCAGTAAAAAAATAAACTATCCCATTTTAATAGTCTAACATCTAATCTCATAATGTCCGACAATTCCAATTCCATAGAACATGGCGGTGCTCTATCCTCTACAAGTACACTAATCAAGTTCAAACCAAGTTAATAAATCGTAGAAAGATATGTGCCCGGTTGACGGCATGAAGCTTGCCACCTATTACGTGAATAGGACTAAAATTATAGTATAAAAAATTTGATACGCCTCTGTCAACGTATGTATGAATTAATCATTTCCTAAAGCTGATTTTTTCATTTTTTATTTTCTGTATATTAAACATCTACCCGTTATTTTTTATTATAATAATTGCCACCCTAGTTTAGAATAAAAAATATCGTACTTAAAATATTTACTTGCTAACGAGTTGTCCCTGTTAAATTAAAAATGAAACCTTCCCGCCT